TGGTGTATATATATATATATATATGTTTGGTCGTTTAGATCACAACAAACATGAAATGATGTATTGTATGCCAGTTTTGCTAGTATGTTTACAATCAAAATCAATGTAAGCATATGCGATCATACATAACATTCCTCTATTTTTATTGTACTTATGGTAAGACCCGGGGGATCCACGTTTAATCATACTGAACGGTTGTTGTTTAATTACGGTTGGGCACTGGGGATCAACGGTTAATTGAAAAGAATTTTCATCTTTCTAAGGTTTACAATTTACACAATGAGAAACCATCGGGCCATAATTCTAATGAAAGAGGTGGTTGTAAATTTGGTTGGGCCCTGGGGGTCCACATTTAACTGGAATGAAATATTTCGCCCTAATTAAATAGGTAGATTTACAATAAAAAAACCAAGGAGAAATCATAACCATACTTAAAACGACTTACATGAAATATGGTTGGGCCATGGAGATCCATTTTTAATTGACATGCGATAACTTGTTTTAATTAAATTAATGGGTTTACATTTCAAGACAAGAAGAAATCATTTACTCACGATAACACTAACATTGATTTTATCTGATGTATGGTTGGGCCGTGGGGATCCACATTTAATTGGGGTACCGTTTAAGAAACCATGCGACCATGCACGCGCTAAGATCTTACACGGCATGCGTGGCTGGGCCCTGGGGTGCACGTGAAATGACGTAACATTTTCTTGTTGTTGGCGCGCCCTCCCCTCCCTCCCCGCCTCGCTCCCCCCTCTCCCTGGCTTCCCTTGCCGCTCTCCATCCCTCCCTTCTCCTCCTCCACCCCCCCCTCCCCTCCCTCCCCCCCTGCCATCTCCACGCCCCCCCCCTCCCTCGCCTCCCTGCCTCCCTTTCCCCCCCCCCCTCCTCGCCCCGCCCCCCTACCCCCCGGGGCCTTTGCCCGGGCTCGTCTTCTCGGGCAGGTTCAAAACGCAGGCGAAGCACGTTGCTCCGCGGGCGCCCGCCCGAGCTGAAAAGGCCCTGCGCTCAAAGCGGCGCGGGCGTCGGCGGCGGCGCCCCCCTGGCCGCTGGGGGCGCGCGCATCAGGAGCGAGGTCATTGCTGCGACCACGGGCTGCGGCACTGCCAGCTGCTGCTGTGCCTGCTGTGGCGGGGCTTGCCACGGGGGCGGCCGCTACGCCTGCTGCCGCGGCGCCCGCGGCAGCGGCTGCAGCGGCGGCTGCGTTGGAGGCAGCGGCTGCAGCTGGCGCTGAGGCTGATCCAGCTGCTGCTGGAGCCTCCGCGTCTCCTCCTGCTGGCGCTGCGTCTGCTCCTGCCGGGGCTGGGTCTGCTGCTGCTGGAGCT